GAAGCTAATACAGCGTCCAGAGGGGTTTTATTATTGCAGTAATTATTGAAAGGCGGAGTGCACTTCTTACCACGCCGGCGTATTGGGACGAAAACACGAAGCAAAAGGTTGCGTGCATGGTTTTCAACCGACATGCGACGCGTTTATGATTTTGACTCCCAATATTTACTGCGGGTGGTGACGTTATCTCCAGTGTCCGGCTTTATGGCGTTGGCAACGAATTTATTTCAGAGTTCGAAAGGAGGTCTGATGGAGTATCATACATTCTTGCTTCTGTGCGCCTGACTGGGCAGATGAACTGGATAATGGATGTGGTGAGGAGCCGGAAGGAAGTGGACACCGCCCTACGGACCTGCAGGCCCAATGGCAAGGTTGATCTGCGCACAAAACGTGTGCGTAATTGTCCTGCTTCCAATGAGGGGCTTGTTGGCTGTTTGGTAACGTAACCGGTACCGAGCGGAGGGACGAGTACCTCTGCGTGAACGCAACCGTTCATGGGGCATTGACAGGCGCGGAGCGGGGTGTGACGCTCGAATTCGCTGGGGCAGGAACTGAGTGGCTTGTCGGCAAACTGGCGCATAATCAGTTGTGTAAATTTGTGAACAGCATTTCCACTCTTTTGGCGACAGCGAATATCCACGGTGTGTCAAAGGAGGGCAGCAGTACTGTGCTCTTGGGCCTCTCGTAAACGAAGGACAGGAGGTGTGAGGTAACATTGAACGGTAAGAGGTCCGGCGTTGTTAGACGATGATGACGGTAATTTGGGAACATGAAACAGAAGGTAACAGGGTGGCCGTGAGGGAAATGTGTGTAAACGACGAATGGTATGTGTACGTGTTGGTGGGAAGACTATTTGCGAAGAGGTCTATTCTGGCTTTTTCCCCAATTCGAGTAGGAACTCACACGCCTCCACATTGGTGGGGAACAGCGGGATGACGGGAGAGAGCAGTCCTTTGACGGTGCACAACGTTTTTTTTTGTACATCCGCGAACTGGCGGAGAAAGACATCGAGAGACTCATAGCCAGCAACGTCACGCTTCCAACACCAACTGCTGCTGGCAAATCCACCCACAGAGTTGGAGGGTCAGACGGTATCCGGCGGTGCTGTGAGGGCCACTTCCGAGCGGAACGTTTGAGGCAAATTTTCGTTAACGATATGTGGGCGGGTGCCTAAATGTGTATCCATCCGCGGTTACAAGGTCTGCTTCTCAGGCAGGAAGGCACAAGGGACACTGTTTCTGGGAATGCCTCCACCCAGGATACGGTAAATCCACCATCACTTTATGCACCCAAATTCCCCAATACCTGCAGAGGAACAACTGCAAACCGACGAAGACGAATCAGCAGACAAAAAATGCACGAACACTGCCTGCAACGGCAACGAAAAGCGATGGACTCATTGACGCTGGACTACCCTGTGGGGATCATATCTCTTCCACGACGAAAGATGAAAAGGAGGAAAAGGGAAGGTGGTGGCGAAAGAAGGAGCCGACTGGTGATGGTGAATCGAGGTCGCCGCAGCACGAGGCCACTGTGCGCCAACTGCGGCAAGGCAACCCGCCTACGGCTGAGAGTGAAGATGTGCCGTCCCATGTACCTGAGACCAGCAGTGAAAAATATACGACTGACCTCAAAAGAAGAGGACGCTGCTCGCGAGGCAACAGTGGGTTTAGATACCAGTCCTGCTCCACACAGTGGCGCCGAACGGAATTCCACGAAGGAAATCCCCAAGACTTCTTAGTCTGGTGCAGCTGAAATTCCTCTTGGAAACGATAAGGAGGGGCGCCACAGGGAGTTGACACTGCACCGGCTAATAAAAGCACCAAATTTGAAACAGATGCGATTTGCTGAACGCACAATGCAGCACCGTCCTCTGGTGACTGCAACGTTAATTTCTGGAACATTACTGGCTTGAGACTCCATGGAGGAAACGGTGACACCACCGTGCATGCGTGTGACTCGCGTGTTACTGCTTTTCCTGCTGGGGTTATGGGGCATGACAGCCGTCATTTGAATAAAAAGGGAGGGGTGAATTTGTGAGGCCTCATGGGAAATGACAAATTGTTTCCTGGAGCTATTCTTTGCACTTTGGGGAACCTTTTTTTTATTTTAAAATTTTGTTGCGGGGTCGAGTTTTTTTTTTTTTAGAGTTTATTCTACTGCAAAGTGCTGCGACTTGTTTCCGTTTGTGCTGTGCTCCACTGCCACTTTGTGTTACCGTGTCCGGTTGAGTGTCCTTCTGCCGGCTGTGCTGCTGAAATGCCCTCGTTTCTTCTTTTTTTCTTCCCTGCTATAGGCACCGACTGTCCGCAACGACGATTGGTTGTGTTCCCCTCTGCGATGGCACTGGAGCGACGGAATGCCCGACTCGGCCTTCTGCTTCTTCTGCAAAGGGAGGGGACGGTGTGCGGCGTGCCTCGCTGTGTGTGCAGGGCACCATCCATTGCAGCCTGCTGTGCGGCATGAAGCCAATCCGTGAGGACAGAGTCGTGGCCGACTATGCCGTGGGCTTGGGTGCGCCCCGTTCTTCTTGTTGCGGCTGCCTGTGTGCTGTGCGCACGGCAGTTTCTTGCGGAGCAGCGTGGATGACGCTGCTTCTGCGTGCGTTGTGCGGCTGACCTCTTCTCCACGTTTCTTCACCCTCGCACGAGGGGGCGTCGTCCGTCACCCGCCCGTGGGAGGCTGCCATTCCAGTACTCCTGCTGACCACTGTGCTGCTTGCGGTCAATACGTACTGCATGGTTTGTGGTACGTGGAGGATTGTGACTGGCAGGAGCTGCGCGAGCCGCGGCGTGGAGGGCTGGAGGCGCTGCTGCGCGATGACGAGGAGAGCGACGAAGAGACGCAGAAGCTCCACGACATGACGTTATCGTCGTACGCCTCAGGCGCCACCGTTGCGTCGTCGTACCAAACACCCGCGCCGCCGTTGCACCCTATGGCTGGTGACACCCACTCAGACGCGCTGAGTCTGTTTGACTTTGCATCCAGTTCGAGCCGTATGATCGATTACGCTGCCATGTGACGTGTAACACGCGGAATTAGTAACTATGCGGTGATGGTTGGTATGAGGGAAGGATGCGGGGCCACGTCTGCAATGCGCAGCACAGCCATCGATTGTTCACTGCACTGGCAGCCTCGATGTTCATTTTTTTCTTTTTTGGTTTGCTTCTATTTTTTGCTGAAATGTACATTTTTTTTTACTATTGCGTAATGGAGGCCACTTTGTGCTGTCACACTGTGTGGCGGGCTCTCTTGTTGTGGTTGTACAGTCATGTCTGTGCGTATATATATATATTTTATCTTTCTCTCTTTATTCTATTCCTTCTTTCTTTTCTTGATTTTTGTTTAGTGTTCAGCTTTTAACTCAATCCAACTGCGAAGACAAGGAGAAACAATGCCTGGAAAGCGCAAAAGAGTGCACGGGGATGATAATACCGAGAGTCAAGCGTCTGCTGTGCCGCAGGGAGATCGTCAGAGGAGAGCAAGGCCGGAGTCCCATGGCGACACGGATCAACCCGCTGCGACCCACATAAGAGTGGAGGAAACGCGGCAACCGCAGTGGACTCTTGACAGTCGGCTGCGTCAAGCACTGCTGGAGAAAAAGGAACGCACCATGAAAATGCGGCTGAATGATTTCCTTCGGAATTATTTTGACGGCAGGGGCGTTGAGGAATTCAATGAGAACGTCTATATGAAGGACTTTTTAGGTGGCCCCAATGAGTTCATCCAAGACGCAAATAAACACAGCCTACTCTTATGTACTGCGAGAAGAGAGGCGGAAGGCAGAAGAAAGGGAAAGGCGGGAACGACAAGAACTGGGGATTGACGTTTCCACTAGGATTAAATATGCGGTTTTTAAAGGAAGGGTTTGCGTGGAAAAAATGAAGTTGAATGATTTTCTTACGATGGAATTGGACGGCAGGGGCGCTTTGGGCGCTAATTGGGATGTCTTGCTGGAGGAGTTTTGTAAAGGACCCCAAGAAGCATATTTGCGATGCGGGAGTATTGAACGAAATGCAGGCATCCGATCGTTACAAGAGGATGGAGAGGGCTGTGAGGGATGAAATGGATATGGAAGAGGATGCAGACAAGCTTCACAAAAATGGTGTGGATAATCTACTGAGGCGGCTGGCAGCTTCTGCGGAGGTAAAAGCAACTGTTCATGAAGTCACTAAAAGGTTTTTGGATGCGGCCGCCGAGGAAGCGAGGAACCCAAAGAAGTCGAGTGCACCGATAAACCTGGAGGGATGCTACGAGTCTGTGCACAATGCGAGATGGCATCATGTAGTGGAACTTTCTGACGGCGAGGGGACGGGAATGGAGGTGAGGAGGGGAAACCACTGCAGTCATGGACGTACAAGGCAGTTGGCCGAACTCTCGAAAGGGATGACGGTGTGGAGCAATCCGGTGCAGCGCGTCCCAGGCTGATGGCGCTCACCTCGGAAAAGGGA